TATTTTGTTTATTAGATGCCACGAATAAGTGAAATCACATGGTATTTGTCTTTCTCTGGTTTATTTCACTCAGCATAGTACTCTTCGGGTCCATCCATGCTGTCACAAAAGGTGAGATTTTCTTCTTCTTCTTTTTTTTTTTTTATGGCCTAATAGTATCCCTTTGTGTAAATGTACCACAGCTTTTTGTCTATTCATCCTCTGATGGGCACTTGGGCTGCTTCCAAATTTTGGCTATTATGAATAACGCTGCAATGAACATAGGGATGCATATATTCCTTTGAATTCATGTTTCGGGTTTCTTCTAAATATCTCAGAAGTGGAATCACTGGGTCATAAGGCAGTTTCATTTTACATTTTTTGAGGTAACTCCATATTTCTTTCCACAATGGTTGTACCAGTCTGCATTCCCACTAACAGTGTGTGAGGGCCCCATTTCCCCCCACATCCTCACCAACACTTGTTTGTTGATTTATTGATGATAATTATTCTGGCAGGTATGAGATGCTATCTTGTTGTAGTTTTAATTTTTATTTCCCTGATGATTAGTGATGTTGAACATCTTTTCATTTGTCTATTAGCCATCTGTAAGTTCTCCTTTGGAGAAGTGTCTATTCAGTTCTTCTGCCCATTTTAAAATTGTATGTGTGTGTGTGTGTGTGTGTGTGTGTGTGTGTGTGTGTGTTGGTGTATATAAGTTCTTTATCAATTTGGATATTAACTTTTTATCAGATGTGTCTATGGCAGGGCCAGACAGCCAACCAGGGAGTAAATGGCCCTAAAGTGAAGGGCGGCCTACCCAGAGGTCACAGGTGAAGGAGGCACAGTCTGCGGGCAGCCCAGAGTTCCATTTTTAGCTCTGCCCTTTAATTGCTCTGTGCCCTTCAGGAAGTTGCTGGCCCTCTCTGTGCTTTAGGATCCTCACCTGAACACAATAGGCCACAGCTGTTCCTCCCAGGAGTGTGGGGTGATTGTGTGTGTGTGTGTGTGTACATTCTGCTTCCTTCTCAACATGCCCTGCTTCACAACCCTTCCCTCTCTCATCCTTCCCTCCCCCAGATTGCATAGGCCCCTCTGGACCTCTTGCATGGACTCCGGACAGGCCTTTGCTGCCCTGTCTCCTTCTCAATCCCAGCTGTCACAGTCCCAGCAGGAAAGAGAGGGCATGCACACACCATTTTCTGGAAGGACTTTGGCAAAAGGACTGTTGTCAGGTGGGAGAGCAGGGCCAGACAGCCAGCCAGGGAGATGGCACCCCAGAAACAGACCAACTGAGGTCTCAAGGGGGTAGGACCATGAGGTAAGAGGGCCCTTTACTAGGGGATGGGGCCACTCGCTTAAACAGCTATGGGCATCTGATCAAGGGGGCAGGGCCAGGAGTTCCCCTGGAATTGGGCTTCTGAGCCAGGGGGTGGAATCACGTGATTGGCCTTGTGAACAGGGGGGCATGGCCACAAGAACAGCCAGAAGTGCCCACAAGAGCAGGGGGCGGGGCCTCATAGAGCCCACCTTACTGTCTGTCTGTCTGTCTGTCTGTCTGGCAGGAGCCTGGGCTATTCCAGGCACCAGCCCAGAGCTGAGGATCAAGGAAACCCCCAACCATGGCCAGGTCTCTAGCTGGAAAGACTCTTGGCCCTGAACAAAATGGAAGCAGCAGAAAGGAGGGGCCAGCACATTACGGAATAATGTGCTCATTGGGGGCAGGAGAGTACACACCTGCCAGCTCCTCTCTCCAGCCTGGGTTCCCTGGGGCAGCTCTTCTGACCCCTTACCCAGGTTCCAGCAGCACTGCCAGTTGGGATCCATGAATAGGCCTCCTCACTGCAGACAGGGCAGTCTGAGGGTGTGGTAGGAAAGGCCGCGATAAGGTATGAATCCCTCTCTAAGGCAAAGACGTGCAAGACTGGAATAGTGGGGCATTTCTTTTTTCTTTTCTTTTTAAAAAATCCTCAATGGATATTTTCCCATTGATTTTTAGAGAGAGTGGAAGAGAGGGAAAGATAAAGAGAAATATCGATGTGAGAGAAACACATTGATTGATTGCCTCCTGCAGGAGCCCCCACCAGGGGGCCTGGGCTGGAGAGGTGCCTGCAACCGAGGTACATGCTCTTGACTGGAACCGAACCCGGGACCCTTTGGTCTGCAGGCTGAGCTTCGATCAATTAGGCTAGGGCTGGCTATGTCTTTCTCATGCCAAATTCTTTCTCCCTGAGCCCTAGAACTGGCACTGCCAAGAATAACAGGTCCATGGGGCTCTGGAGTTGTTGGAGGTGAGGGGTGGGTAGCAGGTCAGCGGAACCTGGCACAGGGAGGGAGGTCGACGAAGGTCAGACACACTGACCTGGCAGAAGCCTCTGGGTCCACATAGCAGGCACCGGAAGACCTGGAGGCCGAAATTACGTTCTCTAAACAGGGCAGGCTGCCACCCCCCCCCCCTCCCCAAACGCTCCAGACCCCGGGCCTCAGTCTCCTCCCTTAGATAAGGAAAAATGCAGAATGCATCATAGCTTATCACAACTGTAACCAATTAGAAGCTCAGCATGTGTCTTCCCCTCCGGAGTGTAAGTTCCATGAGGACAGGCTGGGTCTGCCTTGCTCATTGTCGTGAGCAGTGCCTATGATGTTGGAGATATTCACCATATTGTTGTGAAAGGGATGGAGAGAAGGAGTAAAGGAAGGAGGGAGGGAGAACTGAGGGTACAGGGAGACTCATTTTTTAAAATCACCTAAGAGCTAGGGGGAGGTGGCAGGTAGAGACAAGAGCTAGGGCACTGTGCTCAGGTTCCAGAAAAGACGGGTGAGAGTGGGCTGGAACTGCTGGCCGCTCAGCTGCCGACCTCTGGCGAGAAGGGGAGCTTGGTCTCCCTCACCTGGGCAGTGTGTCTTCAGCTCAGAAAAGCAGACTTGTGTCTTTCCTTTCCGGACTTTCTGTGGACAGGCCCCGTGCCCCATCCATTTGGGCGTGGGGGACAGGGGTGGGAGACCTCCCTGCGTCTCTCCTGTCTCCGGAGGCGGCTTCTCCCACACACAGCCTGACTGCTAGCTTCTCTCTCACTGGGGTGGCTAATAAGCCCAAGGGTGACATTAATTGCCATCAGGCTTTAGGAGTCTAATGAGAACCATCTTCCTTGATGATTCCAGCACCTTCCACCCCCAGGGCGTCCAAGAGCCGGCCAGCCCTCTCCACGCTGCACCTCCCAGCTCCAGACAGATGTGGCGGGGGGAGGGGAGACAGCCTCTGTCTGCTCTGGGCTCTCCACAGGCCCCTGTACACACAAGCAGAGGCAGCAGCAGCAGCACGAAGCCAGGGAGGAGGGAGGAGGGAGGCTTCCAGGAACCGCCCAGGCCCATTTTCCAAAAAGAAAATGCCACTTCCCTGGGTGAACAGGAAACTCACAGGGTCAAGAAGTCTAGGGAGGCAGATGGGGGACCGAGATTGAGCCCCCAGCCGGCCTTGCTCTGCACTACCTCGCTCCCCAGTCAGTCTGGGGGCGTGCAAATCCACAAGAGCCTCACCCCACCCCCCAAGACTTATGTCCACAGGATTGAAGAGCCTGTCCCTCCAGAGCAGCGTGGGACTGAGACCCGGCCCTTGGGCGATGAGCCATGATGCCCAAGGATGCTGTAAAATCATTGCCATTGATTCCATGCCTGGCTGACGTTTGACAGTTGACTTGTCGGGTCTGATCTGAGTGGCGCTCTAATGGAATGGGCCCGATGGTGGGAAAGACCGCCCCTCACCCCCATTCCTATCCCTCCCTCGTCAGCAGGTGCCTGGGTGAGTCGGCAAGAGGGGCAATACCCCCACCCCCACCCTACGGCCCGGCAAGGGCCTGCAAAACAACCTGTGGGAAGGTGCTTCCCTCCTCTCCGCCCACCCCCTTCCCCAGCAGCCCAGGGGGTTCCCCTAGCTGAGCCCCAGGACCCACCCCCAAAGGAAGCTGTGTGGCCAGAGCGGGACCGGGCGCCGCAGTTGGGCTGATCCCCATCTAGAGCCCCGCAAAAGCCCCCCGCAGACTCTGGGGGTGGGGGTAGGGTGCCCGCTCCCCGCGCCTCAGGCAGGCGGCTGCAAGACACCCCCGGCGCCCGGCTGGGAGCGTGCATCCTTCCCGAGAGGACGCCGGTGGCTACGGAGGCTTCTTCCCGAGGGAAACGCGGCCGCCGCAGCCGCCCCGCTGCACCGGGGAGAGAATAAAAAAACACAAAAAAACCCTACAAAACAGGGGCGAGCGGAGCCGCGAGGTGGGCCCTGGCCGGAGTCTCATTACGGAGCCGCGCGCGCCCCCAGGCCGGAATGCGGAATGGACACGTGGACGGGGATGGGGGTGGGGGTGTAAAAAGAGGGGTGTCTCCGCGCCGCGCGAGTCGCGGGCCGCGCGCTCCGGGGCCACGTGACCGCGGGGAGCCGGGAGGAGGGAGGGCGAGCGCGCCCGGCTCGGCGCCCGCGGCCGCCGGGGTGGGCTCCGGTCCCGGGCGCGGGGGGAGGGCGCGCGGGCGCGCGGAGTGCGTGTCTCTCTCCCGAGTCATTCCGGCGGAGGCAGCAGCCGGCGGAGCGCCGAGGCGGCGGCGGCGGCTGCTCGTACTCCCGTAGCTCCCCCCGCCTCCACCGCCACTTCCTTCTGGCTCCTCGTTCCTTCTCCTTCTCCCGCGCGCACGTCCATGGGGAGCCGGCCCCCCTGCCGGCGGCACCTCCTCTCCGCTCGGCCCCGTCCACACCAGCTGCCGCCTCCCCGGCCGAGGGCTGCGCGGGCGCCGGGTGCCCCAGCCCCAGCCTCTGGCGCGGCGCCCGCGTCTCGCCGCCCGCAGCCCGGGCCGGCGCTGCGCTCCCCTCGCCCCGACTGACTCCGGGGGAGCGCGCCCATGCCCGGCGGCACCGAGGCCGCGGGCGACCGGGCGTCCGGGGCGCAGGGCGGGGCCGGCGGGGAGAAGGAGAAGGAGGCGTGCATTCCGAACCCCGGAAAAGTTCAAGGTTTGTGCAGGTCTCCCCCGGGAAGGCGAGGAGCCAGGCGGAGCAGCGCGCCCGTTTGCTGAGACAGCGAGACCCGGGAGGAGAGGGGGGCAGCCGGAGCTGCGGCGGCGGCTGGCCGAGCCCCTCTCCATCCCGCCGCGTTCACGGCCCGGAGGCTGGAGTCGGCGCCCCGGGCTCTCCCTCTGCCTGTCTTCTCGGAGCCCCATCCTCCATCCTCTTCATGGGGCAGCCTGCTCCGGCCGCGCCACCCTCGCTCCAGCGCCGGCGGAGCCGCGGCCCGGGCAGGCGGCGCTGAGCCGGCCGGGGTGCAGCCCGGGCCCCGGGCGAGACCGGGGAGGAGAGCGCGCCGGAGCCCCGCCTCGAGCTCCGCGGGGGACACGCCGCCGCCGCCCGCCCGCCTCGGGCATTGAGTCCCGGCGGCGTCGCCTAGGCATCGCCGGTGTCGGCGCTCCATGGAAACTTTTCCTTCTCCGGCTGGATTAAAGTTGCCCAGATTTCCTCTTTCTTTGCGAAAAGAAGCCATCCGTGTGCACCTCCCCTAGGATGTGCATGCTGGAGCTGCTGCGGGGCGCTTGGAGGAAGGAAGACGCGCTGTCCGTGTGAGCATCCTACCCAAACGGAGAAAAAAAACCTGGGGCTGGTGTTGGAAACCTGCACCCTCCCGCGGGTCCGGGTTCGAGCTGGACCGCGCGGCTGGGGGATCCAGCGCTGCTCGGCTGGAGGCAGGCGGCCGCGGGGCCCGGCCCGCACGTGCGGCTCCCCCCGGGACGCACGGAGCCTGCAGGGGGCACCCGCCCGGAGGCCGAGGCTCCTCCCGCCGGAGCTGCGCCCGCCCCCACCGGCTCGAGGGTGTAGCCGGCGGCGCCCGGGACGCCCCCTTCCCTCCAACTGCCCCTGAATCGCACCCGCCGGCCCCAGAGCCTCCGCGGACACAGCGGGGCGCCGCCGCGGCAGCCCGGAGCCGGAGGGGACCCAGACCAGACCGGGGGCCGAAGCGTCGTCGTCGGCCGCCGCCCCCTGGGCCGCCCCCCACTCCCGCCGCGGCCATGGCCCCGCGGATGGCGCGCCGCGGCGGCGCCGCCCTGCTCTGCCTGTCGGCGCTGCTCGCCCTCGGTAAGTGTCGCGGCGCGGACTCGCGGGGGCCGATGCGGTGATGGCCTCCCGAGGGGCGCGGGGGGGACCGGAGGAAGGTGAACCCCCATCCCATCCCCGGACTCGCAGCTCGAGTTCCCTCCACCCCCACCCCCCGCCCCCCAGCGCTTTGGCGGGAGCGGAGGAGTCCGGCTCCGCCCCGGGGACCGAGCCCGGCCGGGGAAGACCGGGGGCCGGGGCATCACTCCCTCCGATCCGTTCCCCATTAGTGAGAAGGGTCCAAGCCCGAGTGTCCGGGGGCGTGTCCGCCCACGGGGATCTATAGGGATCCGAGGGATCCACTCAGTGTGTCTGAGCCGCCGCCCCCCCCCCCCCGCAGCCGGCGGGGTGGGTGGGGGGCGTTGGGGTCCGCGGGGACCGCGTCTCCCCGCGCCCCTGGCCCGCCGGCTGGAGCGGGGCCGCGCCGCCCGCCGCCTCGCTCCCTGCGGCGTCCCCGGGAGAGGAAGGGGGCTGGCGGCCGGGGCTCGGGAGCCGCGCCGGCTCGCCCACCCGCCGTCTTGTGAGCTGCATCTCAATGGCCGGCTTAGCGGAGCCCGGAGGGAGGGAGGGAGGGAGGGGGTCCGGGCGGCCGGCGCGGGCCGGGGCGGCGGGCGGCGGTGGAGCGAGCGGGATCCGCGCTCCCGCGTCCTGCAATCTGTTGCGTCTGCTCCCCAGGCTCGCCCAGCGCCCCGGGCTCCGCGGCGGAAGGTGCGGGGGCGGGCGGGGCCGGGCCGGCGCGTCTGGGCGGTGGGAGGTCAGCCCCCCCCCCCCCCGGAAATGGGAACTCAGATCTGACGACCCTTCCGCAAGCTGGGGGCGCTCCGGGAGGCCGGGGGCTCAGGCTGAAGGGAGAGGGAGAGAGCTAGCCAGGGAAAGAGAATGGAGAAGAGAAGCCCGCTTCTTCCTTCCTCCCAACAAGACACCAGCAGGCCTGGGACCCGTTTCCCTCACCAGCAGGGAGTGTGAGTGTGAGTGTGTGTGTGTGTGGGGGGGGGGGGGGTCGTTGCCCCTCGCTGAGGGGTGAACCTGGACAGGCTGGAGAGAGGCTTGGATTGGGGGGAGGGCAGTGGGCTCTGTGCCTTGGGGGGGACCCTTGATGTGTCTACTCCGCTGCAGCCACACCTGCCCTGTCCCCAAGAGCCTGCCTAGGTGCAGGGTGAGAGCCTGCCTAGGTGCAGGGTGAGAGCCTGCCTAGGTGCAGGGTGAGAGCCTGCCTAGGTGCAGGGTGAGGGCACCCAAGGTCTCTAACCAACGGCTCTTACAGGGACCAAGGCGCTGCTCTCAAGGCGGAGAGGGTGAGGAAAGGCATGGCTCTGGGTGTCCAGGGGCCTGAAGCTGGAGGGATGGGGGGCTCCATCCTTTGCAGGTGGATTGCTTCTTCCATCCTGGGAGCTGGTTTGTGTTCCTTTCACCAGACCCAGCCAACCTCTCAGTCCTGTATGAGGAGGATGGGGCAGGACAGCATGGGCGAGAGGGGTGGGTTCCTGTGTGTGTGTGTGTGTGTGTGCAGCTGGGAACCTCAAATTTGCGAGGCTGAGGGTGGGGAAGGACTGAGCTGGAAGGAGGGTTCTGCGTGTCTGTGCCCTGGAGCTTGGCAGGCAGGGAATTTGGGCACTTGGCTGGAGGGAACTGAGTTCGGGCCTGCATCTAGGCGTGGTGGTTCTGTCCCACTTCTGCCTCCGGCTGCCAGAGTTCCCTTCTGAAAGCTGACGGTGGCCGCCCCCCTTCCCCCCTCTTCCCTCCCCCAGCTAACTCAAATGCTCTTCCTAAGTTCCCCCACCCCCCTTCCTGAGTCCTCGCCCTGTTACTGACTCGCCTTTCTCCGCCCTCACCTGCCAGAATCCTACCTTGCTGTCCAGGCACTGCCTCTGCCTCTCCTGGAGTGGGGCAATCTGCCTCGTTGCCTCCTTAGATGCCAGTGTCTTCCCGGTGCCCTCTTAGGCCTGGACCCGTGGCGGCAGAGCCGCGGGCTGGTCCTCCTCTGCCCTTTCACGCAGCCAGAGCCTGGTACCTGCCTGGCCCAGGGTTGGCTGCTGAGTGAAGAGCTATTTGAGAAGCTGGGGTGCGGGTCCCCCACTGAACAGGCATTTCCATCTACTGATTATCTAACTGGCACCCTTTCCAAACCCCTTCCCTGAGTCTCCATCCCATGCCTCAGTCTCCCCTTCCTTGAGGAAGAGTACCAGAAGATTCTGAAAGTTTGGGGACCCTCCCCAGATGGATAAGGCCAGAATCTCTGAAATCCCTGCCCCCCAAACCCATTTCCCCAGGCCTTCCTCTTTCGGGGCTGCCTAGCACCCACCCACCCATCCACCCACCCACCCAAGCCGCCCCTCTCTCCAGGAAATTTGGACAGGATTTATTCTCTCTCAGGCTAACTCTCCGTTGGGAGTTCCGGGCTCTTCGAAGATGCCGGGTGTGGGAGCAGTTGCAGTTTTTTGTGTGTCTGTCAGGCGGGAGGATTCTGACCACACAGCCGGACTGGGAGCCAAATTGCCTGGGTTTCTGTCTAACTGGCGCCGTAGGGAGGGGTGACCTTGGGCTGCCTCCCTCATGTTCCGTCTTCCACCAGCAACGTGACCTCTGGCCCATCCCTCGCCTTCTCGCTTTCTGCCAGGACTGCTGGGCAGACACCGAACCCCCCTCCCAGGGTCCGCTCAGCCTGTGGGGTGACAGCCCCTCACCTGCTCCCAGGCTCCAGGCTTCCACCAGGTGACCTCTGAGAAAGCCACTCCCTGCGTCCGGCCTCTGAGGACACTGTCTGCTCCATATGCAGTTTGCATAGGAGTTTAGGGGGCTGGGGGTGGGTGAAACCTGACTGAGAGTTGCTGGTGTCCGCCCCCTGTTCAGTAACCTTCCCTGGCTCCCCATAGCCTACAGAAGACAGATACACTCCCTGACCCCCGACCCTCCAGCATCCAGGGCCCTTTATGATTTTGTATCCAGCTGCCTCTTCACGTCTGCGGTACTGCCCTCCCTCTGTCCTCCATGCATCTTATACGGGAGCATGCTCCTTACCTTCCCGTCTCTCTGCTTTCGCACCACCGGACCCTCCATCGGGAATACCCTGCCTCCAGGAGTTCTTACCTAGCCTTCAAAGCCCAACTCAAACACCATCTCCTCCAGGGAGCCTGCCGGGATTACTCCTTAGTGTCTCGCCAGCAGGCCCCATCCCTCCCACAGCAGTAACGGCCCTCTTTCCCGTGCTGCCTTGGCCCTTCATGCTGCCTTTGCTGCAGCACCTCTCCCGGGCTGCAGTGCCTGTGTGTGAAGGGTGTGTGGGCATATTTCTGCACCATCCCCACAAACTGGCAGCTAGGGCAGGAGTCATGTCCTCTTGGTTTTTGCCTCACTCTCCAGGGTTTGGCACGTAGTAGGTGCTGAGAAGAAATGAATGGGGTGGGAAGGCAACGCTACATATTGGGGGCCCCTCCCAGTGTCCATTGAAAAGGGCGCTCTGGGGTGCGGGGCAGAAGAGGGGAGAGGGGGGAGGCAGGCAGAGACACCAGGAAGAGAACAGTGGGTTGGGATGGGGCAGGGCCATGCCACGCCCCTTGAGTGGCCCATACAGGATACACGTCTCGAAGCTGTGTTATAACACAGCTCCCTAGGCTACGAATGTGGTGTCCCACGGTGCCCTGAATACATGATCGCAAACGCATGTGTCCTCACCTTTGTGCTCACCAGCCTGGCAAAGCTCCCGTTTCTCCACGTTGTGTCTGTGCTTTGCCTGTCCCTCTGATTCCCTCAGCTCTGGGCTCCTTGGAGATGCAGGAGGGACACAGCGGGAGGACTGGGTCAGCACTGGGCCGCGGACAGCTCTCTCACAGCTGGAGTGAGGAAGGATGCTTGCCCCCACCCCCAATCCTGCTCCCAACACACACACACATACACACACACACACACGCACACACACACACACACACATCTTCTTTCTGGCCACACAGAGCCCTTCGCCACAGCACAGCTTTGTAATGTTTAAGACCAGTAGGTGGGGATGTGCTATAAACTTGGTGCTTGGCTGGAGGAGGTACGGCCGCTCTGGAACGGCAGGGCGGGCATCTCCTCGGCCCTCGCTGGGGGCCTGTCTGGAACCGATAGACCCCAGGCCTGAGATTGGTAACTAGTGCTCATGATGCTACAGAAACTGAGGCCCTGAGAAGCACCAGCTCCAGCCAGCAGGGTCTGCCCACCCACCGAGTGGGGTGTGTGTCGGGGACAGGATCTTGCTTTGTTGATCTGTGTATAATGATGTCCATCCACAAGGCTGAAAGGGAACGAGGTCCACCCTCCTGTAGATGAGGAAATGGGCACGAGAGGAGGGGAGGGGGGGACGTGGGGGAATGGCCGACATCATCCAGCCAGTTGGTTCTGGAATTAGGACCAGAACCACAGCTCAAAGGTGGTTTCTGATGGGCTGAGGGTCCGCTCTGGGCCCCTCAGCAGAGATTCCACCACGTCTGTTATCCCCTTTCTCTGAAACTTCATGCCAAGATGTGCTCTGGCCTCAGTCTAGTCTCGGGCCCAGTCAAGGAAGTCAATCAGTCGCCAGTAGCTTCAATAAGCCTTGCCAAGCTCTTGCCAAGAGGGCGCGTGGAAGAGGGTTCAGGAGCAGATCCTCAGCTCCCTTACATGGGCTTGAAGTCCGGTTGAGGAAATGAGAAAAAGTCCTCGATTCTGAAATTCAAGGCAGTCTGAAATCGGGGCTCAAATCCTGACTTTGTCGACTTTGCTGTGCAGCCCCAGGAAAGTCACCTCCCTCTCTGAGTCTTTTCCTCCTCTGCCAAGCGAGAGGGGATGAGGCCCACCCAGCGCCCTACCTGCTCTTTGGCTCTGTGATGGTGTCCTCAGCTTTAAGGTGAACCTTCTCCTCGCCTCCTTTATGCTGGTCTGCCCTGCGCCCATGCCCCCTGCACCGATGCACATAGCAGATGCCACACAGTGGAGACGATTCTTCCTCCCCATTCCCTTCCCAGGGTCTT